TTTTAGCGGAAAAGACAATGATGGGGAATCTGCTAGCCTGCCTCCAGAGAAGGCAAGGGGAGGCCGAGTCCCGTCATCCTAAAATCTGGGGACTGGTTGTCACGGGTCACTGAATTGTCAGTTGCTGACACGTACACAGAGTGGCTCAGGGCTATTCTTCTGCAAGTCTAGGAAAATAGAGGTTCACTGGTCTGGGGTGTCACAGGGGCAGGATCACACCTCAGGGAAAAGCTGAGGGTCCGTGAAACCTGGAGGTGGCTAAGAGCTGGTTTCTAGTAAAATGTTTCAAGAGGTGTCAGACACTGCTTGCCAGAGGTGAGTGGGTGATAGCCGTCACTTATACGACTTCCTGTAATTGTCGGGCGGCAGCTGTGGCTGAGCCGCCTGCCCCTCCTCTTTGCTGAATGGGGATCACCGGCCCTTCTCTCTTTGGCCTCTACCTTTGGGCTTTGCGTGCTGGGTCAGTTCCTTTAACCGAAACTGAAATGCCGTTTTGAACAGAAGGCTCCGTCGTCTCTCTGGAAGATGGGAAACTCTTACGCCGGACAGCTGAGGACCAGGCGGTTCGAAGAGGTCCTGCACAATTCCATCGAGGCCTCGCTGCGGTCCAACAGCCTGGCGCCCAGGCCCATCTTCTCCCAGCTGTACCTGGAGGCCGAGCAGCAGCTCTCCGCTCTAGAAGGTAGGAGATGTGTTTCTGAATTTCTTTTAGTTTGTGCAGTTAATGTCAGCAGCAGGACTTGAAACCCCTTCCTCTGCTGCTCTGGGTAGAAAATGTTGAGTCTAGCAGAAAAGAACTGTTAGAGAAAGTTGCCCATGAATTCTGACTTGGCTGAAATTAAAATAAGTTCCAGCCGTAAAGTGGCAAGGAATAAAATTATTCATTGGACGAATCGGAGAAAGGAAGAGGGTTGTGTTAGCCTATTCTAAATCAGTTGTTACTTATACTAATTAAAAGGTGGAACGTTTTTACCCGGATTCGTAAGAAATTTTAACATGTGTTTGACCCTCAGTTACTGTCTCTCTCTTTGTCCCGTGGTTCGTGGCCATATCTTTGCAAAGTAGTCTGGGCAGTTTCTCTTGTGTTAACATTGCAAGAGCTCTCTGAAAACTTTTAAAAACCAAGAACGAACCCTTATGAATTTTACGTGTGCCAGGAATTAGTAAATTATCTTCAGGCCTGGGGACAACTTTAGAGTTTATTTAATTATCCGGAGAATAAAATGGTTGTGGTTTTCAATCTTTAGTTTGTCTTTTTTATAGCTGGGCGTCTTCATGTCAAAAATGACCCTTCAGCCATTCATACTATGAGACAGTTCATGTCCTGAACATTCTTTCTGTCCATTTACGTCTTTCACTTGGAGTTGCCTACAGACTTCGCTTAGCTATTGACGCGAAAGAGGGCTGTGGTTTAAAACAAACTTTAATGAGCTAATTAAACACGGAAGTGTGCAGGATGCCTGGTCCTGTGTTGCGGTGGTCAGGATGTGTGTGTGCGTGGCAGTGTGTGCGCACACCTGTGTGTGAGTGCGTGCCTGTGCGGGGTGGGGGTGGGCGTGGCGGGCTGCGGAGGGCTGCTCGTAAGGGGAAATGAGGCATGGCTGTGCTCGGGGGACGCCTGAGAGTTCCTTATTCCAGCAGGGAGGCATTCCTCGTGTCGCTCTTTAAAATGTCCCTAAGTTAACCTGGTGGAGAGCAGCAGCTGAGGACCTGAAGGAGCTGGAGCTGGGTCGGAGAGGAGCGAGACCGTGGTCAGAAGCAGGCAATGGGAAAGCCACAGTCCTCTTGTATCGTGGCATAGGAAGCGCTCCTGTGACGCTGTGGGGTGATGAGCAAAAGCTGGAGGGTATGTCCTAGACTGTGTTTTCAGCGAGGAGAAAGACTCGTGAAATGCATATTAAACAGCCATCCGTATCTTCTCACAGTGTTAAAAGGCTCTGTTGGCAATGATACACGAATGACGATAATCACGATAAACCAGTTAGTGCCTTCGCATGGCACCTTAAAATCTACAAAGTGCTTCCCTCACGACGGGCAAAGTAATTGAATTCCATGATTTCGGAAGATGGGGGATTGGTTTGCTCGACGTTTTCAAGGATGCTGACCTGGGAAGAGAGAAGAGAAAGCCATCGGAGGGTCCCACTCAGCTTTTCCTTATGTCTGAGACCCCCACAGACAGCCTTCCCTGGCCTCTAATTGGGAGGCTGTTTCCCGAACTTCCTGATTCCTCAGGATGCCCTCGTCCGCCGATGGGGCGCTGGGCCAGGGACACTTTCCGGGGACCGTTTTGAGGCTTCCACTCCTCGTGCCTCCTGTGTCGAGTGCTGAAGGCTTCCTGCCAGCTGTGGGCACCTTGTTCTGCCCCCTGTTGGTATGGAAACCAGAGCGGCCCTCGCTACGGTTTTTCCATTTGTCCAGCAAACCCGGTGAAGACATTCTCTGAGATTTGGTTTTTGTAGCAGGGGAAGGTTGGCAGGTGGGCGGAGACACTTCGGTTTGCTAAATGTCACCGTAAACGGAGCAGTTTGCTCCAGCCCCTGGTTTCTGCCTCGTAAACTCCGAGGAGACAGCTCGCCCAGGCCGCCTCTTGTTCTGTCTGTCTCTCTATCAGCCGCTTATCTCATCGCCGTCCTTCCTTGCACAGTAACATTAGAGAGGATTTTTATGAGCGGGGCGCTGGTGCCCTAAACGCCTTCGGTCAGTTAACGTTCTCCTGTTCGTGAGGGTCATTCGGCAGAGGCCTGATTACTTTGTTCTTCGAATGAGGGGGGTCTTACTACCTCCTCCTAGGGGAAAAACCTTTTACGTGTCATTTATTTTTTAAAAAGCGACATCAGCCAAACGGAACAAATAACCACCCTGGCATTTTGAGATGAGTATTCATTAATTAAACAAGATGCAGGTAAATTCCTGTGTCCCACCCACCCGGCATGTCATGCAGACAGTTTACTAAACACTCAAATGGACAGCCTCCTCCTCCGCAGAGGGCAGTGCCCCCGAGAACCTCGGGGTTCCTGTTTCCATGTTAAGGCCCTAAGTTCCCACCCCAGCTGGCTGCGTCCAGCCCTCCTTTCGCCCAGAGCCCTGGGTGATAGTCGGTGTCTCTGCTCCGGCTTAGGAAGTGTCCTGATTGTTGCCGGCTGACTGATCCCATCAAAGGCTCTGGACCGGCTGATGTAGACCTTTGACCTTTAATCCTGCTTTTTTAGGGGCCGGATTTTAGCCTCTTTCTTTGACTTCCTGAGGCTTCAGTCCCTCCTCTTCATTCTCTCTGGGAGTCTGAATTCCTGTGCTTTTCAGCTCAGCAGAGTGATGCGCAGACGTTTCTGGCTGTGCCTTCAGCGGTCTTGACACTTACCCCTTCTTGCTGTCATCTTCGGTGTCTTTCCTGTCCCCTCTAAGCTGCAGGAGTACTGACTCAAAGAGGTCTGGGTTTTGCTACAGAGCCTTCTATGCCACCACCCCACAGGGGGCTGAAGGACAGTTTGAGTGCCCGTGGAGTCCGGTGCCGTGTTGCTGGTACCCGGGGGCTGGGTCCGGTGCGGTGTTGCTGGTGCCCGGGGGGCTGGGCGTTACTCCCTTCCTTCTGCATCGACCTCCCCACACCCTCCCCCACACCCCTGTCTGTGACCGTAGAAGGGACGCTTGTCAAGGAGACTCTCCAGTCGGCTCTGGGCCCTTTTCTTCTTCCTGGGCGACGTTTCCACCGTCGTCCCTCCACCTCTGTGTCCTGTAGACCTAGAAAGACAGAGATACCAGGAATTCTTGCTTCACTCCTGCTGTGACCTTTCTAAGGTCACAGGCCTGAGCAGGCTTGAAACGTCCAGTTTCTTCCTCCTCTTGTCCCACACGCACCTGCATAATGGTGACCACTGCGAGGTTATGTTCCCAGCACCCCGTACTGATTGAATCCCACCTGGAGTATCCTGTGCCTCTCTGAGGCCGTATTTCCCCACAGACTGTCACAGCCCAAAGGGATCTTATAGAACCACCTCGTTTCGCAGATGCAGGATCTGGTGCACAGAGAGGTTTAGCAACTTTCCCGCGGCCACACAGCCAGTAAAACTGGAGTTCCCTGATTCCCAGGCCTGTCTGTTTACACGGCACACGATTTCGCCATTGACCTACAACCACTGAACCCACTGGATGGAGGGAGGGTGTGGGGGCCAAGGAGGATGGAGGGGAGACATGACAACAGAGGGGCCAGCGCTGGAAGAGGAGAAAGAAACAAAGAAGAAACAGCTGTCATCGGCCCCGAGTATTTAAGGGTGTTCGCGATGACCCTATTCCACGAAGGAACCTGTATGCACTTTATTCAATGACATTTAAAGACAAGTTGAGAAAGGTTTTTTATATCCTAAAATGTCTGTCGAAAGAAGTTGGGACTATCCTCCAGCAACTGTGAAAATTCGTTCCTCTGATCCACCCCCGATCGCCCTCCCCTGTTGTCTAGAGATGCTGGTGAGTTCAGTCTGACCGCGTGCTCAGATCAGCTGGGCAGATGTTACCTGAGCTCTGCCCCTCGAGGGGACATTCTGATGGGCATCTAGAGGGCAGAGATGACTAGGGCGGGACACTGCTCTCCAGGAGGGCAGTGATAAGAAGCCGCCGTGGCAGCTCACACACAGGGACCGGTGGCTTTTCCATGGCCAAGTCCTCTCTCTCCCGGCCAGTTCCTCATTTGACATCACTCCGGAAATAGTATTTCACTTAAAGAATAATGTCCTAAAGTCGTCACGCCTGGTTCTGTTCTGGAATGGCTTTTTGCGTGTGGGCGTGACAAATTTGGGTGTGTTTGTATTTGTAGTAATGTATGCATGGGTTTACCTCTGGGGGTAAATGATAGTGCATTGTTTCACCGCTCTCTTGAACTGTGTAAAGGCGGCTCACACCGTCCTTGTGTTCTAATCCACGCCGTCAGTCGGTGGCTAGAGCATCAGCTCGGACGTCAGACACACCTGGGATCATGTGCTCCTAGCAGTGGGCCAGTCATGGAGCTCCCTGAGCCTCAGTTTCCTTATCTGTAAAATGGTCTATCTAGTCCATCAGGGTGCCTCCCACACACATATTTTCGGGATGCCTATTACATACAGGCTTCATGCTCAGTCCTTACCAATTATACACAAATCGAACCCTGTGTGTACTGCATGTGCAGACATGTGCCACTGGGACGGGAAGAGACGTGAGCCTGCATTTGAAGTCACGAGGCCAGGGTCCGAGCCTGAGTCTGTGACGTTGGGAAAGCCATTGCCTGAGTGAGCCTTAGCTTTCACCTCCCGTGTAGACAGGTGGTGTGCGTGTGAGGACCGATGAATTACTCGGTAGCCGCGACTCGCTCAGTGCTTACCTCTGCGTCCCTTCTCACTCCTCTCCCGCTTCTAGGTGGAAGCCGAGTGGACAATGAGGAAGAGGAAGAAGAGGGGGAAGGCGGGCTGGAGCCGAGCTGTCCCCCAAACCCCTACCAGATGCACCCTCCGCCCGAAGGATGCTGCACCACGGACGGTGAGCCAGCCAGCCCCTGCCGGCAGTGCCTGCTGCCCAGTCTGCGGCCGTGTGCTGTGGGGGTCCCCTGTGCCATTGTGCCCCCCTGTACCTGCAGCATTGGCCACCCCACAGCATAGTGCTCCATCAGGCTCGTAACCCCTCAGCCATTTGGGGCAGCCTTGTCTGCTAGGTGCTAGACCTCACCCGCTGGGAGTTTGCTGCACTTACCCAGGACTAGGGAGGGGGCCAGCCAAGCCTCAGCAGCAGACCGGGGCTCCATCCCCGTGGGGGATGGGTGGGAGCTTGGCGGAGCTTACCTGGCCCCATGCAGTGCAGCACACAGTGGGCCCACAGGCTTCCCTTCTGCCTTCCACCCAGGGGCAAGCGGGGAGAACTTGGAGACGCTGTGTAAATGCAAAGCACACAATGCGCCGTCCTGCAGAGTTTGCGGGGAAGGTCTCGGGATCCCCAGAGCTGGTCTGGTCGGTAGCTAAGGAAGGAAGAAGCACAGGGGCCTGGGCTGAATGTGCCTCATGAGAAAAACCCCAGAAAGGGTCCATCCAGACAAACTCAGCTGTTTCCGTCTTCTTCCTTTTTTTCCAGATGTTTTTGGTCATTTAATTTTTTGAATAGAAAATATATTTAAAAGCTCTTAAATACGAAAGTGTATAGCATGAAAGTCTCCCTCTGCGAATGAGTCTCCTCTGTGTCCTGGTCACCCAGGCCTCTCCCCAGAGGCCTCCCGCATCACCTGGTTCTTACCCCTCATTTCTGATACTCGCCGGTCATACACGTAAGACGCAGGGTGTGAAAAATATTAAATCGCTCGCATTTCCTGCTGGATTTATCTTGCATACATTTTAATTTACCATCTTTTGTCTACATTTTTTTCCCTGTTGAGCTGCATTTGTACATTAATGTGTACTATGTGGGGACACAGATGTCATAAAAGCACGGGGTTAAGGGTCGTGAGTAACCACGGTTATGATTTTATCTCTCAGAATTAATTTTAAAGTCACCCACGTCCAGAGGTAAGGGTTGGTCCCGACAAGATCCAGGAGGTCCTCATCCCTTTGCCCACGTGGATCCTGGTTCTGGAAGCCTCTCGGCAGCGTGCGTGAGCCCCGCCCCTTCCTCCTAGGGTTCTGCCAGGCGGGGAAGGACCTGCGTCTTGTCTCTGTCTCCAGCGAGCCCATCGACGTCCCCACAGGCTTTCTCCTCGTGGGGGCCAAGTCCCCGAGCCTGCCGGACCACCTCCTGGTGTGTGCCGTGGACAAGCGGTTCTTGCCGGATGATAATGGGCACAACGCTCTTCTCGGTAAGTTTCTCCCTGGCTCGTCTCCACGGCCCCATCTGCGTGGGGGGTGAGGATGAGGGAGGCCTGTGATGGTGGCAGGTGGGCCACCTTTGGAGGCTCTTCATCAGCATGTCACACGCCCCGTTGAGGTCTATCGGTAGACTTTCTTCATGGAATGGAATGCAAATGAGAATCATTATAAAATGGGACTGTCTTCTGGTAGAAAGCCCGTCATTGAGTATTTATTATTTTGTACCTGTATTCATCAAGCCTGCCCTAAATGCTTACTCGCGTCAGGAATGGGACCCAAATCCTGTCCTAGACCCTCCCGGAAGTCATGAGACATGAGGCAGAAGGAGAACAAGGCTGGGCGTGTGTTCCTGGCTCCAGAATGTTCGCGTCCTCGGTAGCCGCCGGCCACCCTCTGTCCACTCTCTCCTTTGGGTTCCCTGTCACCTCTCAGGAGCTGGCATTCTTATTTTGGTTTCATAGGTGGCTTTGGACCTGTTAATGAACTTGCCCAAGGGTATGTGGCCAGAACTCAGGTCTTCAGGGCTCCAAATTCTACGCTTTTATCACCATACCTCATGGACCCGTGTCTTGGTTAAGGTCAACATGGGGGGAAGTCACAGCTTTGATCTTTCGAATAACCACTGGCTCACAAAGACCCCGACGTCAGCACAGAGTGGAGGCCAAAGCTTGCTAAGCCTGCCTCCCACTCATTCAGACGCTTACTGAGCTCTCACTGAGCGCCGGGCCCTGTGCTCAGCCCAGCCCCCCATTAGTGGAGCAAAATCAGGGGAGATGCGAGGTTTGGACCAAGAGCTCAGAAAGCTGGGTTTCAGCCCTGCGTCTGGCCACGGGTTGCTTGCGGCGTCCGGGCCTCTGTCCTCATCCATACAGTAGGGAGGTGCTGTCCACACGTGCTGCTGGCCCTTGCGTTGTCTGGCCCCCTTCACCTGGCCTGGTGTCTCCTTTGGATGGTAGCTGGGCAGGCAGGAGGGTTTGTGATGAGTTACCTATTTCAGAGGTAGCCTCAGGAACAACCTTCATTGTAGAATTGAGTCGGATTGTGAGCGTTTATGGGAGAAACTTCTAGGTTAACTGCTTCCCCGCAGTGGTTGTTTATTGAGCACACTTAGTCTGAGGCTCTGAGCGCAGGACCGAGGGGTGGGGGAGGGGAGAGAGTGAGGCTGACTCAGAGGAGAAAAAGAAATCGCTCCTGCCATGTGGGGTCGGGGCGGGACATGCCCTGTGCAAACTCTGAAACAAGGCAGACGGATGCTGACGGGAGGGACAGACTCGACCCCGGGACAATGACCAGGGAGAGAAAAAGTTTAAGCCAACTCTCTTTTCAGGCAGGTTCGTGGGCTGTTTGTAGCTCGTTCATGGAAATGAGAATCATCCCAGAAAATTCACTCCAACGAAGCAGCTCCCAGAGTCACTCCATCTTAGGTTTCGTTTGGGTACAAGGCCGCTCAGGAGGAGCCGTGGCAGGGGGACGGCGCAGTGCCTTGGTCAGCGTTCGATCTGGTGTGGCACGGGCTTGCCTGACTGCCACCTCACTGCGACTGTGAGGGCAGTAAGTCGAGGGGGTGCTGCGTCTTGGACTGTGGAGACGGGGTGCTTTCACCCCCGGCCCTGTCGGGGCTTCAGCTCCCCAGGCCATGAGCACAGGGGAAGTGGCGTCTTTGTTAATCGCTCACCAGAAAGCCATCAGAGGCGGGGGGCGCGGGCTGATGGTAACAACCATGCTTCCTTCTTTTAAAATAGCTTTATGCTCTCAGCTTGCACACTTACTGCCGTTCAGGTTTCCTGCACTTAACCCTGATGGAGGCACAGGACAAGGTGGCTGGCGGCCCTCCGGGGGGGCCAGGGCTCAGCGCTCTTTACTGACCTATAAAACGGAAGCTGTGGGTTATCTCGGGGGGAACCAAAGGCTTTAGGCCCTCCCCACCCCCATGACTTACAATAAAGAGGGTCTCGTTTTAGTGACTTTGAATCAACTGAGGGATTTTATCTGAGGAAGTTGAAAGATTAAAATCCAGGTGCGTGTTTCAGTTTTTTTTAGTGGTAATTCATCTAACTTTGCTGATAGCTAAGACATAGAAGAAGAAAACATCTAAGCAGAATGTCCGTTTCTTAGATGGGAGTCAATGAGTTTTTTGTGTGTTCAGCAAGCAAATAATGAAGTATTTTTGGAATGTATAACCCCAAACTGCGGGTAGCCCTTAAGTTCAGCCTGGGGTCCCAAGGCCAAGTCAGACCGGGGCCTTCCTGGGGAGCTTGGTGTCTGGGAGGAGAACATAGGCAAACAGAGGCTCGGAGATGCACACAAATGACCGCAGAAATAAAGTTATTTAAACCTCTGTGCAGCATGCTGCGGCCGGGGTTTAAATTGCTCTGCACACCTGCCAGTGACGGGAAAGCCATCTCAGAGGATGGGGTGTTCCAGTCGGGCCCAGAAACACAGGTGGGATTCTGCCAGTTGAGGAAGAACACGAACAGCAGCTACTTTAGTGAGACTTACGTGCCAGGAACTGTTGGGAAAGAACCCGGTGACGTGGGTACGTTATTATCTCGCATTTACATGTGAAGAAACAAAGGCACGGAGAGGCCAACCAGCTCGCTCAGGGTCACCCAGCTAGTAAGTGGCAGGTCCTGAATGTGCACGCAGATGACGTGGCCCCGGTGCTCGTGTCCTACGGGACGAGAGGCGTCTCGTCCTGTGTGAAGGAGCTCGGCATGCTGGAGGGGTGGTGAGAACGCCCCGTGTCTGGAGCAGAGGCTGCCGGGACGGGCTCCGTCGGGTCCCCCTTAGAAAAGGCTGCAGTCCCCAGGAAGTCATTTTCAAAGCACTTGGGGAGAGAGAGGGGTGTTATAGTCTAGTCTCTCCATCTTCTGTCTCTTCTACTTACTAGCACACGGCCAGCCCCGTTTCACTTATAACTCTTCCTCCTTCTCGACCTTCCAAATTATTTGGAAGCGAATCCCAGACACCATGTTATTTCATCTGTAAATGATTCAGTGTGGTCTCTGAAAGATAAGGTTCTTTTCTGTTGGAAATCCAATACCATCGTCATACCTAAAAAATTTAACAGTAATTTCTTTATATTCTCAAGCCTCTAGGGTGTTCCAATTTTGTTTTGTAATTTCTTTTACAGTTGTTTTCCTGAATCAAGATCCAAATGAGACTCCCCAGAGCATCTGGTTGCTGTGTCTCTCAAGTCTCTTGTTTTTATTGTCTCTCTTCATTTATGACCTTCTTTCCGAGTTTTTCCTTTATAGTTTAGATTTTAAAGAAACATCAGGAGTGTTCAAAATGAGGTGATTACCATTTTCATTTGTGTTTTAGAAAGACCTCTTGTAGGTCACATGAATAATTGATTTTTATTAAAAAAGAGAAGCTGAGGCAGGGCGCTAGCTATGAGCCTGTTGCAGGGTTCCAGATAATTACGGTGTTGCAAACCTCCGGGAGTCGGGTCGTCAGTCCCCCTGGAGTTTGTTCCTGATGGGCATCCTGCAGCCTGTCATACGCCGTGTGCTTGGAGACCAACTGCCGTGTCGGAAGGAAGCCGCTGTGGATGCTTCAAAGAAGAATCATCACTTTGGTTCTGGAAGGAAACGTGAGGCCCATTTAGTCCTCATCTTGCATTTTATGGTTGGGAAACTGCAGCCTGGATCGAGCAAGCCGCATCCGTCACGTCTCCCGGTGCTGCGAGGGCCCAGGTAGGGTCAGACTGGAGTCTCCTGACCCACCTCACACTCTGCTCTCTAAGACAGCTGTGCCCGTTCAAGGGGGAGGAAGGAGAAAAGACACATGCTGAGCACCTGCTATGTGCTGGACACATAGTGGGCACTTTACTCTTTTGTGCTCCTTTGAGATGGATTTTTGTGAGGAGACAGCATAGCGGAATGGTTCAGTCCCAACTCCCATGGCTTCCTACCCTGTACCTGTGGGCAAGTTACTTTTCTCTCTTTGCCATGACTCCTCCTCCATGAACTGTGGACCTACGAATCGTTTTATAGGGCTTCAGGAAGTTTAAACAGGAATGTTCGTAATGGAAAGTGCTTGGCGCAGTGCCCGGCAAATGGTCAGTGTGCAGTAGATGTTCGCTGCTGTTTTCTCGTTTGCAGATGGAGAAAGCTAAGCACAGAGATGTTCATTCGCCTGCCCATGATTACGTACGTAACCGGTGAGGCAGGCTTTGAGCCCAGACCCCTCCGATCTGCAGGTGTGTGTGTGCTGGACTGCAGAGAAGTGGGCCGGAGAGAGGGCAGGGGCTCTCCTTCCAACAGAAGGGAGAGCCCGGCTGGCGGCTGACACACACAGGCACCCACTCAGCGTGCACCTGTTAAACAGATGCCATCCGCAGCTGCTAAATGCAGCTACGCAGGGCCTGCGGAGAAATCGCCGTGCCACTATGTGTGTGGTCACGAAGCGCTCGTGTTTATGGGACGTTTCCCATGGGATGGCACACCGAAGGGATGATTTCTCTTAGGTCTACTGTTTGTACCTGGCAGGAATTTGGGGGTTTGGACTGCACGGCATGTTTCTAGGCCGGCCTTCTAAAGAGGACTCCCACGTCCTCAGGGCGATTTTGGTGGTTTAAAAGCTGGGGTGGTTTAAACCCTTTCCTGGTCTCCTGGGCTGGTTGGTAAGCTGTCCTGTGGTTTCCTGGGTTGGGCCTCCGTGACCCAGGGTCATCGCTCAGAGGAGTAGCTGATTGTCCCGGCCAGAACATTTTTGCCAAAGCAGGAGAGCAGTGTGCTTGCTGGCTCCCTAAGTAAAAGCCCCAGGTGTCCTGAACCACGGGGAGGGGCTCCTTGTGGTCTGTGGTTCCTGTCCTGCTTCTGAAATGGCCCCACGGCCCACATTTCTCGTGGGACAAAGGTCTGTGATCTGGTTCGCTGTTTCTGGAAAGGGATGCGGTGCTGGCCTTGGCACGTTGCTCTCAGCATCTTTGGTCTTGCAATTCTGTTTCTTGTTCATTCATCTCTCTAACACTCAGGGTCAGAGTCTCTGCCAGGGAGGTTTCTCAGGGCCTTATTCCTAGATGGCAGCCGAGCCGTTTATCTCACGGTTCCCAGGTTGGAGACAGAAGAATCAGTAAACACGTTCGATTATTACTTCGGAGTGTACATGGAAGTCTCCCGGCGTTCACTATCGTAGTTACCTTGTTTCTCGTCTCCTTCCTTCCCTCCCCACACACGCTGACTGTCTGCCGTCTGCTGGGCGCTAGTCTGTGCACGTGCATTTACGTACACAGACGCAACTCACGCCTCCCCGAAGTCACACACGATCCCGGTGCTTTGGAAGCATGGGACAGTTATGGGGGAAAAGACACGCATCTCAGCAACGGCAGCACTGAGGAAGAAGGCGCAAGGGCTCTGAGCAGTTCAGGAGGCCGTAGGGGTTTGGAGAGCAGTGAGGCCCGGCCCTTCGGGAGCAGGAGCTTGAGCGGGGCGTTGCGTGACGGGCAGGTGG